GGAGAAGGTGGGGGGAGGGGAAACTGTGGCCAGGATATATGGTATGAAACAAGAATCTATTTTCAATTTAAAAAAAAAACAAACTAAAACAAACAAAAAGAAAGAAAGAAATGGAAAGACAAACCAAGTTCATGGGCTGGGTGAAGTAGTATTGCTAAAATGCTCATCCTACCCCAAAAATAATGTGCAGCTTGAATGCAATCCTTTACCAAAATACCAGTGAGATTTTCCAGAGAAATAAGAAAGACAATCCTATTTATATAGAACAACAAAAAAAAAGAACAAAAATATCTAAATCTATCATATATATATATATGTGTGTGTGTGTGTGTGTATGATATATATGTATATGTGTATAGATGATAGATATGTTATATACATATATGTGTGTGTATATATACATATATATTTGTGTGTGTGTGTGTGTGTGTGTATGTGTTTGTGTCTGAGATGAAACTGAACCCTACTTGAGCAAGAGATGTGCTTATGTATATAAAGCAAAAATAACTCAGTGACTCCTGGAGGCAGACCAAACAAAACAAGAGTGACCTGGGGAAAGGTAGCCATGATGCATGGAAACAGTGGCTCGGTTCAGCCAAATTCTGAAGCCACCTTTCTACAAAGGCCAGTGGACACAGACTCCATTGGATCCCATAGCCCTCTTTGATTTAAACTAAGGGTGAGTAAAGGTTAGAGGCATCATACTCCTTGATTTTGAATTACATTGCAAAGCCATAGTATTAAAATCAGGATAGCACTAGGTCAAAAACAGATGCCCCAACCAACAGAATACAATGGAGTTCTGAAATAAGCCACAATTCGTCTTCAAAATCACACACCAAAAATTCACAATGGAGAAAAAGTTTCTTCAAAAGAAGATGGTAAGGATAACTGGCTAGACACATGCAAAGGAATGAAGCTAGATTTGTCCATTACACAGACAGACAGACAGACAGGCAGACACACACACACACACACACACACACACACACAAATTCAGCCTGCCACATCTGTAGATATATAATCAGCCAAAAATCAACATTCTTAAAAAACAATTGTGTCTATACTAAACCTATAGGGACCTTTTTACTTTTAAGCAGTATAGCATGACAGTGTTCTGGTTTTATCTCTGTTGTTGTAACAAATACCCTGACCAAATGTTGGTGAGGAAGCCATTTACTTCAGTTCATGATTGTAGATTAATCTGTCACTGAGGGAAGTCAAGATAGGCAGAAACTCAAAGCAGGACCTAGGAGACAGACCTGCTTGAAACTCTATACACTATTACCTTCGATCAAAGAATTCAATTCATAGCCAAAGAAGTACAGCAGGAAACATGGAAAATGCAACTTGCTAGCTGGCTCACTGGCTAGCAAATTTCTTAGACCTGCCTAGGGATCATGTTGCCCACAGTAGGCTGGACCCTCCTACATCAATTAGCAGTCAAAACACTCACATAGAAGAGAGAGAGGGAGGGAAGGAAAGAAAGAATGAGAAAGGGAGGAGGGAGAAAGAAGGGAAGAGGAAAGGAGGGAAGAAAAGGGGAATACTATCACTAAATTTCCTTCTAGGAGAGGAGGTCTACCCCTTCCTCTCTAACAACAACAAACCAAGATACAAGTCCATCAAAAGTCATCATGGGGAAACAATGAGTTTATTGGCATTCTTATAGATCATGGACAAGAGGTTACTGACAGGAGCAAAGCAGCCATAATGGAAAGTCTTCACCCAGTATAGATAATGGCTTCCCAGTGGCCATATGGATAGAAACCCAGTCCCCAGTTTGTACCATCTTACTCTAGCATCTCCTCTGGAACCTAAGGCCACATGTAATTGGGGAATGACTGCAAAAAAAAAAAAAAAATGGCGGTTTACTCTGATGCGGGTCCAATGACTTCCTATACCCTGTCTAGACAAGAAGGCACAGCTCATCTTATTAGGATGGCAGTTGTTTTGCTTGATGGATAACATCCTAAATTCCAAAAATAAAAATAAATAAATAAACCTTGACCATTAATAGGGTTTTGGATCTTTAGAAGGCTTGGAACAAAAATCCCCTACAGATACAAGGGACAAAGGAATACTGGGCTATCACCACTATGTAGAATCCAAAAGGCTCTAACTTCTTAAAACAGAAAATAAAATGGTAGTTACCAGCAGGTGGGAGGTAGGGGTCATGAGATGTTGGTCAACAACTATAAACTTTCAGTTATAAATTGAAAATCTTCTGGAGATTCAATGTAAACATGTGATAAAGTTAACATTATATCCTTGCAATTTGTTCATAGAGAAGAATTTAAAATTATTAATCACCGAAGAAAACAAATACTGTGTCAGATGTTACATATGTATATACACATATATAAAAATATATCATCTACACTGATATATATGTACATATATATACATATACATCAATTAGCAGTCAAAACAACCACATAGAAGAGAGGGAGGGAAGGAATGAGAGAGATTATATATATATATATTTATATTTATATATATATATATATATAAATATATATATATATATATAAAGAGAGAGAGAGAGAGAGAGAGAGAGAGAGAGAGAGAGAGATCAAATATATATATATTGTTAGTTATAACCCACTAAGGCTTGGAGAGGCAGAATAAAACACAATATGGATAGGCCTGTGGTGATAAATATGAAATGTGAACATTTTAAAATGTTTAGTGTCTGATTAATAAAAGTACACTATTGGTGTATCTGTGTGATATCTATGTAACTATTCCATGAGAAGAGTGACTGAAAGACAAGAGCCATCCCGGGCATGAACGGCAGGGTGTGATGGGACAGGGATACAGAATGAGCCCACCAGGGAAACATACTTTTTCCCTTTGTTGAGGTTCATCTTGTGTATTATGTAACCAATGTGCTGAATAGAATGTTCCCCCATTAATTCCTGATTAGTCCAATAAAAGGCTCCTTTTCTTACAATGATAATCTATACATTATAAAAACAACTATGAAAACCATCATGCAAGAATTACATTCACAGTGTTCAGTCCATTTGTGTTTGGCAACAATTAGATAATTCTATCACCTACCCTACCTTGGTGAGTCCAGAGTTCTGTACCTAAATCATTTTCTATCATAACTTGCATACTACCCTAAAAACATCTTCTTAGACCAAAAAACATCTCCCCCTTGTCCATGATAATCTGAGCTGTTCCTACCAAGATGAACTGAAATCATGAGCCAAAATAACTTGCCATGCCTTAAGTTAGTTTTCCCATGGGTTTCTCACAGCAGGAGGAAGTGTAAGGAGGCTTTTAGATCAAATGGCTTTGTCCTTGGCATCCCTCACATACAGCTTCAGGCCAAGGTGGCTTTGCTAGTGAATTCTACTAACCATCAGAGAGAAAGTGGGGGGGGGGGGCGTGTGTGCATGTGTGTGTGTGTGTGTGTAAATACTCCCTAAGTCAGAAAATAGAAGAAAGGAAATTTACAAATCAAAATCCATTATCAACAATGATGCTAAAATGTTTAAAATCTCAGCAAATGGAATCTAAACTATACAGTTAAATGTATGTCAGTCACTCCTCAATAGGACTGCTACTAACTATCCCAAATAAGAACACCTTGCTTCCTGCAATCATCTCAGAGTTAAATGATCTCTATGACACAGTCCAGACAAGACAACTATTTCAAACTCCCCTCCTGGCTAGGAGTTTTGCTCCGACCTGGTTTTTATGTTGTTGTTGTTGTTGTTGTTCTCTTTTTAAAGGCTAATAATTGGCTGTGGTTTTTAGATAAAGGCTATAGAAAAGGAACTAAACTCCAGAAGACAAAACCCACCAAAATTCATTACAGCCTGGATGAATGCCTGGCCACCTTCCCAAAAAACAGTGCTCTACCTGCTGGGTTATTCCCTTCTCCCACTTGAAAACTTTGACTTCCTAATCCTATGCCACTTCCCCCTCAAAAAAAATCATCCACAGGTCCTCCTCACTCCCTATTTCCCACCCTCAAACCCCATCACAGCCAGGAGCAGTCCTCGGGGATCGCACTCCTACAGCCCAGGGCAGAAGCCATAAAGTCAAGACCAAGGATGGCAGTTGCATTAATAGGAGACTCCAGAAGACAGAATAGCAGCATCCCAAGCTAGCAACAGAAAAGGGAAACATTAGGACACACATAGCTCACAATAACAACCAGAAACCTTTTAAAACGGAACAAGAAAATGAAACAAAAGACAAACCTACAAATCCAGCCACACAGTCAGACTTTAATTGTTCCTCACTTATTTGCTCCCTAAAGCACAGTCCAATGGGTCCTTTTGAACTGACACTTCACACTTGATCACAGGGTCAAACTTGGCCATAGCCTGCCCTTCAATTATGAGAAGAAATTAGAGCTAATATATAAGCAATGCTCCAGTGAAAGGACCAGTGACAGAGGAGTTCCCCCACAGTGCGTCTCCATCCTGAAATGGACATGAAGTTCATAAAAATGTAAAGATGCCCCTATATCCTTCCTGGCCTACAGCCCTGTCACAAGACTGATGGCATTATCCCATTTAAACTGAAGTACGCATCAAACACTAACTCCAGCTGCTCAGCTTCTACAGCCTTCAACAGCACCAGCCTTTCAAATTGCCAAACTTGAATTCAAAGACTTACAGTGTTTAGAGAATTGTCCCAAATTGAGGGGAGAAGGGAAACGACGGGGGAGGGTGTTTGCAAAATTCTCTTTCTGGGAGAAAGAAAAACACTTTATTTAATTAACTGTACACTACTAGGAGAGATGGGGCCTTAGGCCCCAGACATCTGTAGGGCAGTCGTTGGGATTGCAGTAAAGGCCTTTCCCTTGGGCAAGATACTTCACCCGAATACACAGGAAACTGAAAGGCCAGCCAATGGCCTGGCTGCAATGAGACCCAAAGGTGAAGGAGGGAAACATCTAACAGGCTAGAGAAGCTTTTGGGGGGAGCCGGCTGAGAGCCTGCGTGCCTGCAAGAGCCCCTGGGAGGGTCACTTACTTGTCCAATATGAAATCACATTCTAGCTAGCAGGCCAGCAGGCCACCATGCACAGCCGCACCGCACCCAGCAGGGCGGTCCAAACAAGCTGTAACTCCGCCCGCTTCAGTCCAGCCAGCAAACCTTGTAAGGCGCAACCTGATTGGTCCTTTGAAACGGGCACCGGGAATGGCCAGTACTTGTGAGCCCTGCCCCTTCACCCTACAGTGCAAGTCGTGGGTTTGCGTTTCAAACTCCTCTCTAGAACGCTGCCTGGATTTTAAAGACGCCAAGGCAACAGAGACTGCTCAATCTAAGCAATTCCCTGTGAGCGCCAGCTACACTAGCCTGAATTCTACAATATGTGATGGATATTTCCTGTTAAATCGCCCTCAGCTGAACACCAGGGTTGCATGGGCTTACAATTCCTTGAGCCCTTTATACCTGGTACTTTTCAGGAATTCTATCACTTTATCCTGTGGTCGAGACTTTAAGGTAGAGATGACACTGTAAATCATATATATGTCATATATATATCATATATATATCATATATATACCCTTGCCTTTGAGAAGTTGACAGACTGGTTGATACTGACCTTTCCAGTAAGGTACCTGTTATCCATCCTCATCGATAGATACTGAGAGTCCAAAACCGGTTTGGCTTTTTTTCTGGGGACTATTCCAAGGTTGTGAAGACTAACCTTCTCAATAATAACAGAGAGTTCCTTAAACAGACCTGATATATTTATTATGTTAAGACTAGTATCCGCATGACCTGAGAGTAAACAAGTGATTATCTTTCTTAGTCATCCAGGTGTGATCTCTGTCTTGGTGAGACTGAGGCCACAGGATTAGTCCTGCGCCCTGCTGGAGGTCTTGTTTTGGATTTATTTTCCTCTAAACAAGCAGTTATCAACCTGCTTTGGTGTGATATATCAGATATTTACATTATGATCCATAACAATAGCAAAAGCAGATATGTGAAGTAGGAAAAAATAATAATTTTATGGTTGGCTCACTACAACATGAGAAACTGTATTAAAGGGTCTCAGCTTTAGGAGGGTTAAGAATCACTGATCTACACTATGATTGTATTTCTTGGATGCTTAATACACATAATACATTGTCCCAGCTCTTCCTTAATATATCCCAGAAGTGGAATGTCCTCCTGGACTATGGCTGGGCGTGAGAGCATGAAAGGTCTCTTCTTTGCTAAACATAAATTAGTGTGTTGGCCTGAGTAGATAGCTGTTTCTAGTCTGTGGTGTATTTGAGTTTTTATTTGTTTCCTCTTAAATAGCATACTATCAGTAGCAAAAATAGCATTGTGGCTGGGCCTGCAGCAGCCATTCTAAACAATAAAAGGACCATGGGACAAAATCCACACAGAGGAAAGCAACACGGTAAAAGAATGTGGGTTCCTAATGCTGTTTACACCATACAGGGCTGAGTCAAAAGACCCTGGAGCTCATCTAGCACTAGAAATCAGGTGACTGACCTCTACTATGAAACCCTCCAAAACTACATCATAGAAATGTTTTGCAAAAGGCATATAAATGTTTTGCAAAAGGTTGGATGCTTAATACATTGCCCCAGATCTTCCCTAAATATATCCCAGAAATGGAATGTGTCTGTTGCCTCATGGACTATGGAAAATGGCCATTTTCATACTACAATTTATGGAAAGAAATAACAACTCTTGAGTACTCTATAAAATACTAGCTATGACACAATGTGGCTGAAAAACAGAAGAGGAAATGGCTCCATGCAGAAGGCAGCAAGTGCATGGGATTGCCTTTCTTCATTAACAGTCTGGGCTCTGAAAATCTAACTCACTCCAAGAAACCAGCATCAATCCCATTGGAGCCCAATGTTCCCAGTGACATAATTACCTCCCACAAGTCCTCACAACTTACAGGTTCTACCACCCATCAACATCACGGCACTAGGGACCAAGCTTCCAGCATATGAGTCCTTTGGAGACTGTCTCAAAGCATATCTAGACTGCAGCAGTAGAGCATACAAAGGGACACATATGAAGTCATGCTCACTCATACACATGTAGTCAACACAACTACAAATTAAATCATGACACAGAAGGATAAACACAGACACACACATACAGAGACAAGCTGATAGAAATCACACAACCACACGTGTAGCCAAACATACTTGGTGCAATCATATTTGTACGGTCTTATATTACCACTTTATACTCATATATCATACATATAGAAATACATATAGTTATACTTGGGCACCCAAACACATAAGCTTAGAGATACAGAAAAGCATATGTACACAAATAACAGACATTGGCATACGTGAATACATAACATCATTAACATAAACAATCCCCCATCCATTTTATGTGACAGATTCTGTTAACAAATGTTCTACAAGAAAAAGAAGAATGAGTTCCCTTTTTGCAAATGTTCATTGTGTTTATTCATTAGTCATCTAGTATTTGATGACAATATATAGAAATAAGATGAGGAAGAGTACACTCAGAAATAATAGTGGCACCTGAGTGTTAAGGTCTGTCATTATAAAAATTAATGATTTTTTAACGCTATTACATAACGTATTAACTAGAATTCCTCTTGGATCGTATATTCTGAAATATTTATGGCTCTCATCTCCTTGAATAGTCTGAATACCTCTGAAGTTGTAAATAATGATATGAAGATGTAAGACAGTGCATTATTAAGGATTATACATAATTCTTTGCATTGCTTGAAAAACTGTAATTCAAATTGGTTGAAGCAAATAGCCACTTTATTGATTCACACAATTGGGTGATTTAAGAAGAAAGTGAAACTCAGAAGAGTCATCCAGGAATTTCAATTATGTCTTAAGTGACCATTGATTCTCCAGGTTTCATCTCTTAATTCCTATGATTGCTCCCTACTCCAGTGGGATCATGCCACACAGCTTCTTACCCTCTGGATAGGTATGGCTTGAAGACTGTCTGCAACAGGAACTGTTCCTATTGACAGTAGTTAAACCTGTCTCCTTAATCTAGCTGTATGCCATAAACCCCACCTCCTTGTTAACTTGTGTATAACCCCATCTACTAGTTTGACTTCATGCAGTGATGCAGCCACTATATTCCACTCCATATAATAAGCATACTGAACTTCTGGGGTGCTGTTGTTTCTCCATTTGAGTGCCCAGACCACCCAACCCTCAACTTGTTGTGTCTCTGTGTATTTGTCTTTTCTTCATTCTCTTGCTACCCTTGTCAGATCTATCTCTTGGAGTCACACTGAATGTGGCAGAAATGTTAAATGCTAATAAAAATGGAACAACTTCTAAGTAAATTTTAAGGTGAATAAACAAAGTGACCATAAATTAATTATATATACAATTTCAAATTGTATTCTTTCATTCTTTCATCTACTATTGCCTTAAAAGATGCCTTAGTTATTGTATCTATTACCCTAAAAGTAAGATGACAAATATTTATGGGCCTTTGATATTCTATAAATTTTATATAAAAAATAAAGCTATCTTAACAAGTTGGGTTTTTAATTTTTATTGAAATTTTTTTTTCATACAATATATTCCAACCATAGCTTTCTGTACCCCAAGTCCTCTTGCATCCTCCCCCAAAGAATGTGATACTACACAGGCCATGAGCCTAGGGATAACCAAATAATCTTGTTCTCCTAAAAGAACATAGCAATAAAATGACTCCTAGCCACACTCTGCTGTAGACCAAAGCCTTGTTCAGCCATGGTCAGAGAACCTTCCTCCTACAGGAGTTGGGAACTAACACATATGACCACAACTGGACAATGCACAGAAAGTGGTAGACTTTGGAACACTCAGTCCTAAATGAGAAGTCTTCATTAGTTTGGAGTTTTGTAAGGTGCAAGAAGTATAAAACAGTCTTTCACCTCCACATTGTAAAGGGTTAACAACATGCAACAGAATTAAAAAAATCAGAAAATTAGAAATCAAGTGTGAATGTTAACCCAAGAATCTATCTGTTGTATTATTTATGTTCTCAGCTTCAGTGTCTTCCTCTGTGAAATGGAAGTGATACTACCTACTTCCAAGAGCTATATGAGGGTCAGATAGTCCTCTCACTTGTTCCAGTACTGAATTCAACAAGTGACTACATATCTTCCTCATGTTAAGTTCCCTATGGAAGGTACATGACACTGTAGGCACTCTGAGCAATGTGGTTTATCGGGACCTATTTATCTTCTCTGCCTGTGTCTTGTTTTTCTTCTATCCAGTTCCTCCTGGTGTCAGTATATAGGGCTATTATAATCAGAAGCCTTGCTTTTACTGGCCTGTGGCTGAGCTCCTGAACTGAGCCAATTTGTAGACATACCCTCTCAAGAATTCCAGTCTTCTGTAGCATGTAGTAGCAGAGACTAGCAGGAATGTATGTACTCCATCACAACCAAAAATTGTTTGCCTCAAATATAATCTGCCTATGTTTCTATTCATTTCCAAGATTGGTGCTTCAGCCTTACCATCATTCTTGTTTGTTTTGACAAAATCCCATGTGTGATAAGCTTACTTCATGAAAAAATTTAAAAAAAATATATGCACAGGAAAAAAGTTATTTCTATCAATTGCCTTTCTGTTGCTGTGATGAAACATCAAAACTAAGACAACTTGTACAAGAAAAGGTGTATTTGGGTGTACAGTCCCAGAGGTTACAGTTCGTAGTAACAGGAAGAAGGCATGGGAGCAGGTAGCATGGTGCCTGAAGCAGGAAGATGACAGCCATGTTCTCACTGGCAAGCAAAAGACAGAGAATGAACTGGAAACGGCACCGATCTTTAAACTCCCAAAGCCCACAGTTACAGGCTTCCTCCAGTAACACATCATTTCCTAAGGCGCCCCAAACATGTCAGCCGGGGACTAAGGATTCAGATAGATATGACTTAGCAGAATGTTCTCAGTAAGCCATCATGCTTCGCTTTCCCAAACAAGCATTATCTACTTAGGAGAATAGAAAATATACACGAAAAGGTAATTAAAATTGGAGTTTGGAAGTGCTCATTATGGAAGAATGCATACTA